TCTGGCTATACAGGGTTCAATTCCACTATAGATACAGATGTTTTATGATTAAATAGGTCAAGCGTTCATTATCTCTGATAGTAAGTAGGGAGTGGGCTTATTACAGGACACTCAAATTATTGTATTTGTTGGCTTTCTGCTTATTGTTGCTTTACATCCCATCAACCCAGGGTCAGTTAAGGACATGCTAGGTTTAAAGGGTTAAGAAAAGTTGAATCTCCGCAAGAAAAACCACAAACCCATAGCCAGTACCTGACGACTGCTCCATGTAGACATCAAACTCATGATCCACAGGTGAAGGGCCACTGATAGAGATGGTTACACACAAAATAAGCCAGAGTGCCGATTGCTACTGCTTTTTTTTCAATTTGATCCAAATATTAGCCGTACTGGAATATAAGCCGCACCCTTTCTTTCAAAGTGGTAACTGTTATGTTGACCAAAGTTCATTGATGTAACAGACAATGCATGGAAATTTATCAAGATTGTCATTGAAACATTTAATAAAGTTTGTGAATGAATCATACACAGATAATCCTTTACTTTATTGACGTATTTCAAAAAGCACAAAATTGTACTTTATCGACGTATTTCAAAAAACACAAAATAGCAAATATCTCATTTGGTTTGGGTACCTTCACAGGTTGTCTACGCACAGATACAGGGCCTGACATTACGTACAGCTTACAGTCTATAGAGTCAAATATTAGTGAAGTCTCTAGCATGCTAACAAAATTTTTATAGTCCATATTATTTCTTCTTGTAAGTTACACGAAACTATTTATATCGTAAACAAGCATGGCAGTTGTTATAGAATTTGACCTATCCATCCCAGGATACAAAAGGCTATAGTAAACTTCTGCTATGGCTTTGAAGTAACTGTGAAAGTCCAGAAGATATTATTGTGATTCATATTGAAATGTATGATTAATCAAATCCGCGAGAATGTTATCTTTATTTCATCTCCAAATAATCCTGTATATGAATGCAAATGATGGTTCTAGTCGATCTGTTTCAGTCACAAACACGTGACAGGCAGGTACTCGAAAAAACCTTCAGTACCGTCTTGTAGTGGTGTACTGGTACGCTTCCTGTACTGTTATTTCATCATCATACTGATTTTTTTTTTCATCCACATAAAGCCGCACCCATATATAAGCTGCATGCCTGACTCACAACTCACAAGGAAAAAAGTGCTGCTCATAACTGGGAAAATATGGTAGTATTACAATAAATAAGAACTTTCCACCTGTAAACATGATCTCCAGCTGAAAAATCAACAACTCTGGGATTTTTTTGACATAACTGGTATTAACCAACATTCTGTTGACTCAGGTTGAGTGCCAATATTTTAAATTTCATTTAAAACAGAAAAAGTAGAAAAGTTATTTGACTTTGAAATGAGATATTTCTGGGATCACAGTCTATTTATTTTGGTGCCAGAAAGTGAAAATATATTGAGTTTTGAAGCCCCAAGTAATGCTCTGAGGTAGTGATGTTACGATTAATCTACTTTGTCAAGTATTGGTTGGTTACATCAATTAACTAATTAAATGACTACAATATTCTATATTCAATGGTCAATAAAATAAAAAAAATGACTTTCACATTTCTATTTCTTTAGCAGAAAAAGGTCTTGAATCTCAATCCTGTTAATGAACATTATGAAGTGATCAAACGGCTGGTCGAATGAAACAAATAAACATTGCTGCTGAATCAAAATGGTGGAGTCCAGGACATGGCACTCTAAAATATCTAAATTATTTTTTATTTATGCTGTCATCAATTTGATCTAAATTATGACAAAGCCATGTGGAACTCTTCCTTTCTTGAATCTTGTATTTATTGTGTTCCGAACTAGTATATAATGTGTTGTTTTTTTTAGTTTATTCTTGCGGACAATCTCAGTAGATACTAATCTCATTCAACAATTCTCTTGTTGTTTGCGTAAGTGATAAAGTATCTAGGTGACCATGACGATTTGTTGCAATGTCCTCATATTGCTATCCACTGTTGGAGCAATGATTGAGAGTTTAATAAAAGGATTTCCGAATTTGAAAGGTTAAAACTATACAAAGTCCTTTTTAACAGTCTGAATCCATGATATTGGGGCCCCCAAGCGGTCAAAGTGTTTGACCATCCATGTCAGCTACTCTATCTCTGGGTCATGAATTCAAGGCCTCTATGGGCAAGATGCCTAGTCCTGGCCACAGTTTGGTGTTTTTACTCCAGTTTTCCTTCACCACCAATGCCTGGCATGTTCTTAAATGACCCTGGCTGATAATGGGATGTAAAGCAGCCAAAAACTATACTAAACCATGATACAGCTGACATATATATTTGAAATTCAATCAATTCCTTTTTATATCTCAGGAATAAATTCATGCTGTTAACAAACTTGTATGCTGAAGCAGTGTACTTGACAATAATAAATACAATTATTTCTGATTTTGTGAAGCACATGTGTACTGTACAGATCTTCATATAGTATCTTTAAAGATCCCTCATGTACAATATATATGTAACATAATTCCAAAGAAAATATTGGAAATCTTCACTATTTAAAGACCCAACATAAAAATCTTGATAGTCCAGGCCAGTAGGAATTCTGCACCCTGTAGATGTACATTTCAAATTTTAAAACACAAATCCTTGTATCACTTTCTTTCAAAATCAACTCATTTTACTTTGATACAGAAAAAAAAACTTTGGAATGGATCTCAAAACAGTTTTCTTTAAATTTCAGACCATCACAAAATGTTGATACTAAATAAGTTTAAGGTACATGTATTTAAAATCATTAAGTAAACAAATTGGCTTACAAATGTATAAATTGAATTTCTACATGAAAATTTATAGCTATTTAAATCTTATTAAATGATTTGGAGAACAATTATTTTTCTCCTTATTCAATTATAAAAAACAATTTGTGTTGGAAAATTGAGGTTCAAGTATGTCCATGTTATGAGGTAAGTTCAACTGGTTTCCAGCTGTTAACTCACTTTCAACAGCAGGACCAGTCCACCTTTAAACCCTGTCACATATATCAGGTATATGTAGCATACAATGACATACCAATGAACCTGACAACCCCAATATCACGATGGACCTGACAACCCCAATATTAGGATGAACCTGACAACCCCAATATGAGGATGGACCTGACAACCCCAATATTAGGATGGACCTGACCAACCCAATATTAGGATGGATCTGACAACCCCAATATTAAGATGGACCTGACAACCTCAACATTAGGATGGACCTGACCAACCCAATATTAAGATGGACCTGACCAACCCAATATTAGGATGGACCTGACAAATCCAATATTACGATGGACCTGAAAAACCCAATATTAGGATGAACCTGACACACCCAATATTAGGATGGACCCGACAAACCCAATTTTAGGATGGACCCGACAACCCCAATATTAGGATGGACCCGACAACCCCAACATTAAGATGAACTTGACAACTCCAACATGAGGATGAACCTGACTACTTCAATATTTACATGAAACTGTCAACCCAATTACCAGGATGGACCTGCCCTTCCTAATTCAAAAATAGTAAGACTGATCATCAACCAAATATCAGAATGAAACCAAATATCAAGATAATCATGTTGGCCCTAATGTCTGAGCTTGTTGACCACAAATTCATAAACAGGTTGACCTCTGTATAGTTTCTGACTACAGTATTCATGAACAAATTGACCACTTTTTAATTCTTGACCACAAGTGACCACAATATTCGTGACCACGATGACCTCTGTATATTTGTTGACCTCAATATTCATGAAATGGACCAAGTCTGTAAACTTGTTGACCACAATATTCATGATGAACAGGATGACCTCTGTATACTTGTTGACCTTAACATTCATGATGAACAGGACAACTTTTGTATAATTGTTGACCTTAAAATTCAAGAAAAAATGACCTCTGCATATATGTTGACCACAATATTCATGAACTGGACCAAGTCTATATACTTGTTGGCCACAATTTTCATGTTGAACAGGATGACCTCCGCATACTGCAACAATCTTGATAATCTCCAGTTAAAGACAGAATACCTTCAAACTCTCAGTCAGATAGACACTTGTATTCAATATGAACCTGTTGGCATGACATTACATGTAATATAAACCTTTTTGCCTCCAGTAGGATGAACCTGTTGACCCCTAAAGACTTGTTGGCCACTTTAGGATGTGTCAACTTGCTCAGTCAAGTTGTAGTAGGATTGAAAATTAACCTTAATCCATAAGTTTAGTTATATCAAAATATGTATTATATAACGTCATTAACAAGCAGGGTAATATATATACGCTAGCCTGGATAATACTTTACCTCTGTTCTGATAATTAGAATACAGCTAGCATGTCAACACAATACAATACTACTGTGTTTATCTTTCAGGAAAAATGAATAATTGATCACGAAGCATGCACTCACTCCAGTATACTGTACCAGTAGAAGATGTAGTACTGTATGGTAGTACAATTATAAATTAAGAACAATACAAATTACTTCACACAAAATATCATCTGTTTCTGAAAAAAGGAAAACTTTTGCAAAAAAATTGATATGACTCAAATTGAAAAAAAAAATGCTTTCACTATTGCTAAATTTATTTTTTCATACATACATTTGTATTCATAATCTGTCAAAGATTTAATACATAGAGACAAGGTGACTGTCTTGAGACTGGTATCTGTGAATTCGTATTATGTCAAAGATTTAATACATAGAGACAAGGTGATTGCCTTGAGACTGGTATCTGTGTGTTATGTCATTAATGCATAAAAGACTAGTGACATTTCATAATGCAATGTTGGTTTTTTTTCCCATCACAACAACTTTCACTTTGGATTATTCTCACAGGAAAAAAAATGTCATCATCAATTGCCAAAATTTTTTTTTAATCTTAATTACAAATTAACTAAGATAACTGTTGAGTAAAAAGACAAAGGTTCTGAATAATATGGCTAACCTGTCTGTCCCTTGCCCAGCGTTTTCTCAAGTTTATATGGCCCAACATACTGCTCTTCCTTGTGATGCGACCCATGCAGGCTTCGGCCCTGGGGTCGGGACATGATGGTGGGTGTGGGCTCGGCAGTCAGGCCACACTCCTAGCACAACCCAACATCAATCCAAAAACAACACATAAATTTTCCAAAAGGAATTGTCGTCATTAACATAGAAATCGATAACCGGCTAGCTATGCATGAGCACTATGCAGATAGCGTACATAACATCATATTGCGGACCGCCGTTTTCTCCTCCTCTTACGCAGGTACTCAAAACATTATCATCTTTTAGAGATAATGCCAAATCCAAAGTATAAACGATTTCCAAAAGTAGAGCTTTCAATTAGTAGAATTTACACAGGTCCGCAAATCCGCTGTCCCTGTTTGTTTGCATGTTACCGACGAAATGAATCACTCAGCATCCAGCATACATCAACGCCATCTGTTGTGCTTCAGCGATGGAGACAAGGGAAGCAACTCGCCAATACACAACTCAATACACAACATCGTATAATAGGTACTATTTATCAGTTAGAGGCCAACATTGTTCCATTTTTATTGTTATAACGAGTAAAAAAGAAATTGTAGTAATTGGTTACGTTAATTGGTATCAATTAATGAGTTATCCGATTGAACATTGCGTCAAAAATGAATGTACATTGTTGTACACTTATCCGCAGCAATAAATACACAGATGGTTGTATAAAGAAGTTATTATGTTTGAAAGTCTGAAATGTACAACCGCGCGGAATATTATCAATAAATATAATGCTCTACATGAAATGAAATTACTTTAAAGAAACTTATACTCAATATGTAATGTTACTTTAATTAATATTCAAATTTAATTAATTCTTTTGAAGTCCGTACGAACGGTGAAATCCGAAACCCCGAACTCTTACTACTTACCAGCGCTGGTTTTAGGAAATGGTACGTGTCCGACCTCCAATTACTTCTGAAATGTTTATTTCACCTTAATTCCTCATTTGCAATCAGATATGTAAGATTGTCGATGACATGTCCAACTGCATTAACACCGAATAGAAAACGTGACGGAGAACGTCGGCAAGGCTTTTGATTAACGTGTTGGAGATATACTTTGTTATGAGTAACAACCTAACTAAAATCACATTTCTTATTTCACCTCCTGATACTTCCCTACTAAATTTAAAATTAAAACAAAGTGAAATAACATATGATATTAGTTCACTTATACCGATCGATTGTCATTTCCACTCTCCTCCATCCGAATAGCTATACTGTTATATCATTTTAAAAAAATCTCAGCTTTGACTTTGCATGTATTAAGGCCTTATGAGATGATGTCCCTCGACAGCTTGGCAATGACCCCCACTATAACATCATGACTGTTATGAGCCATTTTGTTGGTATTTTCCTGGACTAGCAATTTTGTTGCATCATATATAACAGATCGATCGTGCAAGCAGAAGAAAACACGACGTAACTGTTTCGTCATCAGATACATTTCGCCTTGTTTTCGTCGTTGAAAATAGTGTTTCGCTGGGGACAAAAGTGCTATCTCTGTTGTCTCTCTCAATGACTTAGATATTTATCTATTTAACACCAACGTTTAAAATGTACGTCCCTGGGACATTAAACTTACTCAATGTTGAGTTGGAATCAGTTTTGATGTAAATATGATCGCTTCTGAAGAAACCAAGTAATCATCTAGGAGCTACTGAACGTCAATCCGAGTAATATACCAGGGAAACATCACAATTCCTACTGTCAATACCACCATGACAATAAAATATTGTGAAAGAAAAAAGAAACATCACAAAATGAAAGATAAGGCGGACAGAGACAAAATCACAATACAACAGTCAGCAGACAAGTCCTACCTTCACCAGCGTTCGGTCCAACAGGTATATAGTGAAGGAGGTGTCGATGTAGGTGTCTTATTTACTAATTAATTCTGGAATAATTATTTCTAAAATCACCACAGAATATACGACACGAAAAATAAAGAATCGCTTACTGAAAATTGACAAATTATGATGAACAGAAATACAAGAGAATGTAGCAGAACATATCATGTTGGTGTGATTAATATCATAATGCATGAAGTTTATGTATCAAAAGTTAGTGAGATCCTTGTCAGAAATACGAATCTCATTAGAGAATTAATTGGATATATCAGTTTATTCGTCTCAGAGAATTAATTGGATATCTCAGTTTATTCGTCTTAGAGAATTAATTGGATATCTCAGTAAAATCGTTTTATTTGTCTTAGAGAATTAATTGGATATCTCAGTGAATCTAGGACACATGTATGTTACATGACGTCCAGCCTAGTCAGTTATTCTAGAAAGAAATGTGTACCTTCACGAGTTGAAATTAAAATTTAGGGTAGATTTTTAATCTACCATTACCTCAATTTTAGCTGCGCTTAATACATTTCGGTATGGTGTACCGACATACAATACAATAGTGCCCTTTTAGAACGAGAGATTTTTTATTGATTTTTGCCGGTTAAGAAGGAGACGGAGATTATTCAATTTGCTCCGTGATAGAAATGTACTTTTCCCCCTCCAAATATAAACAGATCTAACTTATTATCTCCAAATACTTCAATTTAATCAATTAGTGTTATCTTCTTCAAAAACAAATTATAATGACTTTTTAAATTTAATTCGTTATCCTAAACCAAATTTCAAGATACATTGCAATCGTAATTAACAAATCAAAAGTTTGGAATATTTATGCATCCACTTAAGTAGAACATTTAATTTCAAATGAATTTCTATCTGTGTTTAAATTGTTTTTAAATGAAGAAAGTGCTGCAATTTTTTTTGAGATAACCTGATTCCTCCTACTTACATACATAATACATTTTCAGTAAGTTAAGATAATTTCAAGCAATGTTGTTGAAAAGTATGTATTAATATAAATCTGAACTTGAAAGGGTAGAGTTCCTATGACCAGATTGAAAATTAGTACAAATGATCCACACAATCTATATATATATATTTAGATATAACTGACAAACATGAGACTGACAGTGTATGTCTCCAGTTCCTGCCACGATGTCTATGTGATATATCTGGTCACACGTAGACCCAACTTAATATAGTAAAGGGAGGTGCTAATTTGTATATAACCTTGTGACTTCCATGTTACAGGAAGTTAGAAATGTAGTTATATACGCTAAAACTCTGGACATTGTAAGGAACCATAACGATTCTAGATTCTGAAGACAAGGCAGTGGTAAATTTAAACTGTATTAACTAATGTATCATGGCTTGTAATAAAAAATATAAATACAATTGAAATTTTCTTATGATTTGTGTTCCCATAGCCTGCCCAGAATGAGATGCTGAACTTTGATTCTAATAACCCTTTTTGGTCGAATACACTTATTCTGGAGTATGTCAGTTTTGACAGAGTAGGCCCAAAGACATGATGTAGTGTAATTATTTGTAACCATTGTTAGGTGATTGGTCCCTCTGTTCCCCACACATGTGTTTTAACAGTGATGTGCTTGTTATCATGAAGGGGTCCCAGAGTGTTGGACTAGGTAAGGTCAGCTGACAATCCAAGGTATGTGATTCTATGTTCCCAACCTGTGGCTGTGTATTTCTCAGGATTGGTCCAACCTGTGGCTGTGTATTTCTCAGGATTGGTCCAACCTGTGGCTGTGTATTTCTCAGGATTGGTCCAACCTGTGACTGTATTTCTCAGTATTGGTCCGTGCTGAGTATGTCCATAAGCAAGCCACTTTACTCTTATTGCTCTAGAGGGCATTAAATGGGTCTCTCTTGCTTTGTTCAGTGAGAAAGCCACAAATTCCAAAGAGATCCTGCCTCACAATAACAATGCCTGTTCATTGCTGATACACAAAGTTATAAGAATGAAATGTTAGCATAATAGGATTTTTCTCCTCAAAATACTAACAAGCAAAGTTGATTCCATATTAGGATTTATGCTTACAGTAGCAAGTTCTGGAAAAGCAACAATGTAACCAGTCTGCTTTTGGGTGTTTGTAGAGTGTTATCCCTCTCCTGTTGTGCAGTCTAGTCATCTTAAGCAACTTTCCCAGTTGTTACAATTTCCTTTAGGATTCACATCAATGATAATACACCAAACATACCATTTTCTTGTAGTGTTTACCAGTCCCTTCATATCCAGAAAAAATCTAACCCACACAGGTATATTTCTGTATCTAGAAATTTGAGAGCGTATTATTTTTAGAATTTTTTTTTAGCTCTAGGATTTTCTTGGTGTAATATTTTATTTCTAATGATACTAAAAAGAAAAGAAAAATGTACAAAATTCTGTAAATAATCCACTTTTTATACATCTTTATACTGTAACTTGGAGATTTTTATCTTATCTGAAAATAGGAGGAAACTCGTTCAAGCTTTCTTCACAAATAAGAAAAACAAAAACAACTAGAAATTAGAATTCTGTCACATATATATTTATTTGTACAAACAATTCATTCAAATGTACAATTGATGAGAAAAATTATCTCAACAAAGCATATAATGATTCATGATAATGTGCAAACAATAACAAATTGTAGAACTTTTGTGCATATGATGAGTTATGTCCCTTTGTCCATCGGCAATCCAACACAACCAAATAACTGGACATCTTCACTCGAAGTTAACTACCAAGAATTATTTAGAATAACTACGTCAAATGAGCAAATTTGCAGTGAAGAAAAAGGGAGCTTCCGTGTTCTTGTAAACAGGTCAAATTCTTCTACAGTCACAATAGAAATGTTATAAATTTATTTCATTTTACTTCTATCAACAGAATACCATTTTACCACAGAACATGCATACAAAAACGTTAAATCCAACACAAGCTGTGGAGCAATTCATTCTTTTATCCCATATGAAAAGTAACACAATAACTAATGATTTCATTTTATACAGAAAACAATTCTAAATTACAATATTTCCTGTGTTATATTAGGTTTATTTTAAAAATTTTGTACATGTAGTAGGTAATAATTATGTTCATCACTACATATATCACCGTGCCGTACAGGGGATGTCATTTTGTGTTATCAACCCAAGGAAACAGGATTTCCTTAACTGTAAATACTATTTGTACTACAGGCCCTAGTTGCTGAAAGCCTTGGTTAGAGTTAAACAGCAGTCATTGAAAAATTTGATTGTTGCTACTGAAAAAAAGGACTTTCAAAGCAAATTTGACACTCAAAAGACATCAAGCTGTCTTGTTTCAACTAATCTACGGCAGATAAATGATAGAGAATGTTCCCGTTTTTGTTTAATTCATTCTGAAAGTTTCTTTTAACCACTGATTAACTCTAACCAAGCTTGGAGGAACTTGGGGCAGGTCTCCAGAGACACTGTCACGACAGAAGCCACATTGATCACTATCTATACTATCTGTATGAATGAGATCGAGTGTCCTGTGACATTACAGCAAACATCTTGTGTAAAATTACAACATCATGATTCTCTGACTTTTTCTTCATGTTAGAAAATGGGGTGGTCTACTATTTTTCAGTTATAACATAAAAGCTCTTCCTCACTGACATTTACTCATATAATGTTTGTCAACTCAAAAAAATTAGCTATTACTCGGAAAAATATTGAACATTTGTGAAAATTAAGCCTTAAATATAAACAAAACAGTGAAGTTCTATTTAACAAGTGTTATTCAAACATGTATGTATTGTGAGAAACAACAAAAGTCCTGTGTATTCCAATAGCCTGCCTTATCTGACCATCGGCTCTAAAAGGTGTCAGTTAAGTTTTACCATACTGTAATAATCTAATGCTATACTGAACCACTATGGTGTGGATTTGCACAACATGAGTATTATCAATTCTGTACTAAAAATCGATTTCAAGTGTAGTTAATGTTGAAAATATTTTGTTAAATTTGATGCAAAATATTTGTTCTTAAATATTTTTAAGAGTACATCTTCAGATTCTTGAAGTGTTTTACATATATTTTAACATCAATTAACTTAAAAAATTGACAAAAATTCACTCTTAATACACACTCATTGTTCATCTTAAATATTTAGTATGTACTGATTAAAACAGTATTCAGTAATAAAATGAAAAATAATAAATAATTCAGAAACATGTTTATTAATTAAACCTACAAATTCTTATCATACAGGCCTATACTATTACAACAAAATCCAACATAATTTCTTCCTTGTATCACAACATCTATGAAATGGTGCATACTTCTTTTAACACAGCAGAGAATCAATTGAGACAATTGCCACATCATTCACCTACTTCTCAATAAACTTTCTGCTCCTGATAGAAAAAATTATATAATTTGCAATCTATTTTGACCAATGACATGGCATATCTCCAACTAGACAACTATCTAAAATTTTAAAGTGACTCAGTCTTTTTTCATCCAAATTTTGAACTTACTACAACAGATAAACTTAAATACAATAAAGTTGTTTCCTTCTTAATATGAATTCTTAATAATAGAACACAAACAGAAATAATAGTTTGTCTCCCGTCATGAATGTAAAATCTTACGGACAACACGTCTGCTCATTATCAGGTTGGTTCTCTCTTAATATCACATTTTCTTGAAAAATGTTCCTAACATAAGTCAAAGTTAATAAAAAAACACAGCAAATGAAGCTTTAATCATATTGTTCAAGTCATGGCAAGACATCAATGAACAATCAATATCTTTCTTTAAGGATGTATGCTACTTTCCTGTAATTTGTACCTGCTATAAGAGTTACTAATTATTATTGACCTGTTAGGTTAAGGTTCATTGGAAAGAAACATGACTTTATATAGTTCATAACAATAACAAAATGAAGATTTCTGCCAAAACTCTGTTAAATCTGACATGAAAAATTAGTGCTAAGGGAAACAACTCTTGTACAAGAAATACATTGTGTGTAAGGTAGCATACATCCTTAAAATAATTTACTGTCTCTAAAAAATAAAATATAAGACTGATAATAATACAACAAAGGACATACATTTCATCATTGACAAATACTTTGAAGGTAAAGGATTATACCTTGTGTTGTCAAAAGATCAGCCTTTGGTCTACAATTCTGGTATACATCAATTAGAATATTCAAGTCTACAAACATAAAAACCTCTCTGATTTGATTCACAATTTCACCATAAAATTTCTCTTTTTCTGGTCCTTCAAAAATGTTTTACAAGAAAAACAAAATCACTTAAGCTTTTGCCACTTCAGTCTAATTTCCCCTTTGTCTCACTGTTTCATATATCATCAAAAACATGCTTCCATGAATCATTAGGAGAACAGAAAAAGCTCCTTTCCTGGTTTCCAACAACATTAACTATCAAGGATGGATATTCCCACAACTTCAGATTTTTCTAAAATAAAGCTCATTCATATTATGAAAGATTATGATTTCAATAAAATATCCATTGCAAAAGTAAAGATCAATTTAGCAGGTTTTTGATTGATTAATAATGTTTAGATAATTCTGATTGGTTAATAGTGTGTTGATAATTCTGATTGGTCTGTTGCAAAAGTAAAGATCAATTTAGCAGCTTTTTGATTGGTTAATAATGTTTTGATAATTCTGATTGGTTAATGGTGTGTTGATAATTCTGATTGGTCTGTTGATTTTGTTCAATGATTCATTACTGTCCTCCTGATTGGCTACATTTTCATGTCATCAGGTATCCTCTTGGCCTGCTTGGTCAGGATCCTAAAAGAGTAAGTATTTATATGTAAATGTTTCATTATACATGTAGTCTAAAATCATTATTAGTGATTCTTCAAGCCGATTTTTAACAGATTTGGGTCTGATGAACTTATCACCTGGTGCTCTCTCTTGTTCAGAAAACACTGAAAATATTGTCATTCAAAATGAGTCTGATACAAAAATACAGGCAACACAAGAAACAGATATAAAACATGTCAAACAGTCCAGCGAGAATGATTAGCAGTCTGCTGAAAAGACAAGAACAAACGAGAACAGATATAATTCATATAACCGATTCAATACTGCTTCAATTCAGGATCAATTTAATAATGCATCACATTTAGAATTTCATCACAAAACACCACTAGAAATGATTTAATATGCTTTTTTTCTGAAGGAAGAAATGAAAGGAAGGAGAGTAGAATTGACATATCAGAGAGTATCAATAATATATAGTGATCGAAATATAACATTAAAATCATTGTTACCGTCTTGTTACAGTGTGCTGATGATTACAGACATATATGTAAGGTTATTTATACAATTTATTATTCAAACTGATGCTGTATGTATTGTTACAAAACCAAACTCAGTTGTTTTAAGTGTAGTTTATTTTCCCATTCATGAAGACTGCATACAATAGTGTCAACAACAGTGGTTCTTAGTCTGTATTGAAATGTTTCGCAAGACTTTTACACTTCCTATGTACTGGAAACATGAAAACATACTACAGTACATTTAAAAGACATTTGAAAATTGTCCATGCTGAACATTCATTCATATCAAATAAAAATTAATGATTATTGAAGAGATAAGTCCATGCAAAAAGACACACACTGCAAAAGTGAAACCCAAGTGAAGCATGCAGACACTAAGTTAGCAGAAGATATGAAAAGGTTTCACTTCCATCCAGTTTAAGTTAAGCATTTAATGTCATTTTGTGAGAATGAAAACAATATTCAACCAATTTTCACAATTTCTTACATCATTTCCACAAAATTTATCATTAATTTAGCTATAGAAACAATATCAAATAACATACATGTGTTCATTTTTTTAACAATTTAAATTTTAAAACGACACATAATTGCAAATCCTAACAATCTTGTCAGTACCAATCATGTTTCTGTCTGTCATATTGAAGATGTATTCTTTTACCCATACATATTTAACCAAGGCTTTCTGCTGTCCAAATGTGAATTCCACATCCAAAAAGAAAACAGATATTTTTTATTTGACTGTTCTGCCACTCAAGATCCAGATTCCCATACAATATTTCTTTTATTTCTGCAAAATCATTCTCAGAACCTGCCAGAACTGAGCAGAAAACTCAGAGAAGATATTTATTTCATACTGCAGTTTGATATATATTGAATCTCTGGAGAGGTTTGAAGATTTTCTTACTGTAACCTATATTTTGATATCCTACCTACTTTAAAAAACTTCAGACCATGTTCCATTCGTCTTATTGGTATTAACTTGAATTTAACCTCCTTCCATAATTTTTAATACAGGTAAATCTGTAAAGCTGATATCACATTGACGTGAACACAGATGGCAATATACGACCATTTTTTTTATTGAGATTGCAAACTTAAATCACACAGATTTATTTTTTATTACACTTTTCCTGCTGGAAGCCACTAATGATCTAACAAAATACTTTAAGAGAAATACTTTAAAAAACTTTACTCTGTCAGATCAGAGGTTATACAGAGTGAATAATCATTCTTCACTCCATGTTCTCATACCCAAAGCCTGGAGTAAATGGAGATAATAAGGGTAGAGAGTTCCTTAAAGAGAGGTAACCAGTACCTACAAAACTTGTGCACCTGATGACTTATTTATGAGACAGAGACATGATTGATAACAAGAACAGTCTGTATGACCTACTATGGTGTAATACTGTAAGCCATACTGCCCATAGCTATAGAACTGCCGCGGCTCAGTGGACATGATAACCGTTGGTCGTTGATAGTACCCCGGGGGCATGGGTGAGAACGCACCCTGTTGGGGATGGTACACCCTGCCTTGTGGGCTGGGATGTGGGCCCCTGGGGTGATCACCCATTATGCGGTACTGTAATGTAAATAATATATAGTACATAAAGACTACATCAAGCAGATACACTATCTAATCTAATAAGCAGCATGATTTCTGATTTCACAACTACAATTTAATTCCAAACATGTTCATGACATGTTGTGATGGAACCAATTATCCCATCAACAGGCCTATAACAGCAGGTAAGTTAGTCCAAAAAACATTGGTTTTTATTTCATTTTTTTTATTACTTATCAAATTGCAGTACATATTTGTACAATTACATTTTAAAGTTGGTTCAGTTTAGATTAACACCTTTGTCATGGTATAAATTTTTCACCTGGACAGTTGACTAATTACAGAATTGGCAAAATAAACATCCATTTTCAGGCATTTGTAGTTATTGTTTCAATTTTCAACTTTTTCATTTATTTTTGTCTTCCAACACTCCAAATTATAAAAAAAACTTTTTGAAGTCCTGTAAAATGGATGGTAAGATGAATTTAAATATGACATATTATTGTAGTGATTACTGAAAACTTCACTAAAGTCAAAATAATAACAATTCATATTACTCTGACGACTGTGTCATCTATTTCAGTAATAATTTTTTTTATAAAAGCCACCATCACTGACACATGTTATTTCGACAGTGTGAAATCAGAACAAATCAATGACTCTTGTTACATTGCTCTTAGTAAGAATTACAACAACTTAAAATGAAAAATCATGCAAGTGTTTATGAGGGTTTAAAGTGTACATTAAGTAGAAAAAGTGAAAATAGCTGTGACCCAGTATTTTTTAATTCTTTTTTCTTTTTTAAAATTTAACAATTTTTCAAATGCTGTTGAGTTTATTTCAATTTGCCTTTTCTCCAAGTCAAGACGCTAATTTCTTGAGACATTCATTTCTAAGTTACAAAATATGATCAATGAAATATCAAATCTTAAAATCAATCAAAATAAAAAGTTTTGTCATTCTTTGTCCAGATTTCCCTAACTGAGTCACAGGAGAATTATGGATTCTTTTGTTTAAGTATCCACTCGCAAGTTTTCAATGTTGTCTGCAAAGTTAATGAAGATTTTTTTAAAGACAATTGCACCATTTCTTTGAATAAATGATACAAATGTAATCAAATTTACATTTGGCATACAAAGCAGAATTGAAAATTGCTTTCAAAAGAGAGGTGTCAATTTGGGCCATACTGTGGCCATTGAGAGATAAGCCAGCAGTTTGCATCTTTCTACAAATATAGATTATAATACCACTCTTGAATTTTACTATATATGATCAAATTTTGACAATCAATTTCCTAGAAAAGTTGAAATTGAAAATGCACTTGATGAATCCGTTTTAAACCTCAAGGTCAGGTACTCCAAGGTCCTGTGCTTGGTCAACCATTGTTCGCCAAGGATAGATTATGATTTTCTTGTGGTAGTAATTTATCATTATTTAGTTATTTTTTGGGCTGGTTAAATAAAACTTGTAACTTTAAACGAAAAAAAGCTAGATACATGAAATAAATGCAGTGACTCTACCCAAAGCTGCTCCACTAAAACATGCTCCAGTGACTCTAACATACTGCATGCTAATTAATAATAAATTATTAGGGTTACAACAATAGATACAGCTACAGAAACAAATATACCTGTTGGACAACTGGACTGGATATGTGTTCTCTGTTAACTGTTCCCTGTAACAATCATGACAAAGTTATCAAATTAATACAACAATCTTCTCCGTCAAAGTTAATCATTCACCTGTACCAAAGAGATAAAAAAAGATAATGACTTTTGTACAAACTATCAATTGATAGGAAACGTGTAATGTCACAAAAATTTACCCTCAGTAAAATCAGAAGAAATCCAAAAACAATCACAATGTTTTTTTTATAAAATTATATACCTATCTGCCTGTATTTTCCAACCATATGTGTTTTTTTTCCACAGACACATTCCAATTAACAATTACATCCATGGTTCTAATCTCACCTGTGTAACTGGTGATGACTGGTGTAAACTTGTCGCCATTGGCAATGACTTAGATGGGGAGAGGTTTCCTAGACGACTGGCAAGAGACCCTGTGTGGAGGTTAGCAGCAAACGCTGAGACTTTATCCATCATATTCTGTGTAAGACTCTGCTTCTGACCTCCTATCACTTCTGATTGGCTGATGTTTACAGGGTGAGTGTTGTTCTGGTGTGAGGCATTGCTAACAGGACTAATACTGTCAAATATTGATCTACCTGAGTAATGAGATGATGAAGTCTGCGAGGTTGCAAAAGGTGATGACAATGATGATAATGAAGATGAGGACTGTGATGAAGATGAGTGAGATGTAGACAATGATGTGCTCTGACTGTTGAATAAATTGTGATCCGTTGGCTGGGATGTTGGTTGTGATGGTATCGTAGGCGGTGTGTGCAGAAACGTCGCAAAATTATCAAAGAGATTGCCTTTATCTGGTGATTTTTTACCAGTGTCCACTTTAGATTCTAATTCATGTTCCTGTAATCGATTCTCCGTAGAATGGGAAACACTGTCAGAATTATGTACAGCGAGGGAAGAAGTTCTAGATAGCTCGGTATCATTTAACATGTCATCCATAGTAACACTGTCTTCTGTTTTATCATCAGAATCACATATAAGCTTTGTAACATTTCCAGAATTTGTTTCCTGCTTTGCAGAATGTTCGGAGCCAGTGTCTTGCATGGGCGAATCATCCATATCAAATGCATCAAAAACACTTTTTCGACTCTCACTAGGACCGTTGGTTTGATGTGGTGTATATGGTGGGAATTTACTGTTAGTATTTTGCTTCCATTCTGAATGTGTACCATTGCTGCTATCCAGTGGTATGACTGGGGTCAGCTTTGGTGGCCCTGAAGATTTTGGAGGGCTACGTATCCTTGGTGGACAAGTCAGTTTAGGAGGACCAAGTAATGATTGGGGTGTTAACTTTGGAGGACTATTCATTTTTGACAAACCTGCCAATGGTAATTTTGCAGAATGGCTTACCATTGGTGAGTTTAGGGAATGGCTAGCCACTTGTGATTTTGGGGAATGACTAGCTACTGGTGATTTCGGTGGACTGTGACTTTTAACACTAGGGGGACTGGAGCTGACTCCTTGAATGAACACTTTGGACGGTGAGAGAGAAGTGCTGGAGCCATCAGAGACTTTACGTTTCTTTGGAGGTTGCTGTGGAGGATTCATGGGAAACAGTTCTGGTATATCTTCATCACTTGAATTTGAGCGGTCAGATCCTGGAGAACGATCACCACTGGTTATCACAGACGACGTATTGGGTACATTTGTCTTGACTGGTAATACTGTCTTGACAGGAGAGTCACTCGCGATATTTTTACTCTCAGGTGTCAAACTTCCAGACAGGCTTTTACTATTTTCCAATGGAGCCTGCATATTATTTGACCCCACAAAAGATTTTTCTTGTGCAGCCTGCAAGACACTTGATTCCACAGATCTTTTAATGATGCCCTCTTGTGCAGACTTTCCATCTACTTGTACCGAAGTATTTGGTGACAAGGGAGACAAACCTGAGGATGGCCCCAGAGTAATGATAGCTTGTTTCTGTTGTTCTGTCCCAGTAGCACTAATACTGCCAGCTAGGAGTGTTTGAGATTCTGTTGGTGTTACTGAAGTTGCTGTGCTGGACACAGCTGCAATCTTAGATGCACTTGTACTGCCCTGGTATATAATACGAGTTTTGCCTGACAAGGGGAAGCCTGTACTCTGTCCTTTGACTTGTAATACATTTCCACTAATCTTAATAGCCTTATTAGCCCCACCTACAAGGCCAAGTTCAGCCAAGTTGATCACTTGACCAGGTTGAAGGGGCTGTTGCCCAGGGGCGGCCACTATTTTGATGATTCGTTGTCCTGTTGGTGACACACTGTTAACTGCCATCGGAAGCCTGGGACTTCCTGTTGATGTGGGCGTGGTACCTATCTTCACTGTGCCACCACTTTGTCCATGCTTGGCAATCATCTGTGGCTGACCAGCTTGGGACATTTGTCTCACCTTGGACACTCCCACAGGACCTACATTTAACTGCCTAACCTGTCCCATCCCTGCAGGCCCTAGCTGCTTCATTTGACTATTAGAGACACCAGGTCCTTTGGGTGATAAAGGCCTTTTGGGGGACAACAACGAATTGTCATTTAAAAGAGAAGTCCCTGATACATTTGGCTTTCCCGGCTTTCTTTTCACTTGAAATACAAACTTCTGTCCTTGATGAAAAGCGGTATCTTTCAATTCCATTTTTTCTGTGGATGAACTCGATGATGTCTCGTGTTTATTTGAGTATGGTGAATATTTCTTAGCATCCAACAGTGAAAGTGATGTAGCAGAAGTCTGCCTGTTTTGCTTGCTAAAGTTGTACAATAATTTCTTGCCATTAAACGATACCACATTGCCATCGATATTCCACTCAGGGTTCCCTACTTTGTTGATCTGTCGTATTGTTTTCTGTTCTCCACTCCAACCTATCTCGTCTATATTAGGGGATAACTCCGGAATTAAACGCGATGATTTTGTTGGTGTTGGAGGATCGAGGCGAACAATCTTATCTCTGTATGGTTTTGGGCTCTGACTTCTGTCAGAATCTTCATCGGAGTTATACTGAAAATGAGAGAAAATAGATTTAACTGATTTCAAAATATCAATCTTGATCCAATTTAATCTTTGAAAAGTGATAGCTGTTACAGACCCAATATTCACTGGGTCAAATCAACATTGAATAATTTTTCTGGTCCAATATTGTTTCAGTTACTCCCACATTGGCCTACCTATTCCTCTGTTTCCTTCACAGATATCATATCATCAGTAAAATGATTTTAAGCAGATCTGAAGAATTTATCCTGGATTTGTTGGAAGACTTTCTCATTTACACACAATATCTCAAATCTCTTATCAGAATGTTTCTGACCGTATATCAAGTGGGTTGAGGTCATTCATTTGAATAAACTTGGTAGCCTTTCCTCCCAGCATGCTACAGACCCAATATCGGCACTCATAGACTTTTGCTTATTGAGATGAAGTCCTTTGTATATTTTAACATATTTGACCCCTGTGACCTTGAAAGTGGGCCAAGGTCATTCATTTGAACAACTTTGTAGGGCTCCATGCCAGCATGCTATGGGCCAAGTATTAGCCCCCTAGGCCTTCTAGTATTTGAGAAGAAGTTATTTAAAGATTTTGACATATTTGACCCCTGCGACCTTGAAAGTTGTTCAAGGTCATTCATTTAAATAAACTTGGTAGCCTTTCCTCCCAGCATGCTACAGACCCAATATCGGCACTCATAGACTTTTGCTTATTGAGATGAAGTCCTTTGTATATTTTAACATATTTGACCCCTGTGACCTTGAAAGTGGGCCAAGGTCATTCATTTGAACAAACTTTGTAGGGCTCCATGCCAGCATGCTATGGGCCAAGTATTAGCCCCCTAGGCCTTCTAGTATTTGAGAAGAAGTTATTTAAAGATTTTGACATATTTGACCCCTGTGACCTTGAAAGTTGTTCAAGGTCATTCATTTAAACAAACTTGATAGCCCTTCATCCCAGCATGCCACAGGCACAATATCAGCAATCTGAGCCTTTTGGTTATTGAGAAGAAGTTGTTTAAAGATTTTAACATATTTGACCCCTGTGACCTTTAAAGTGGGTCAAGGTCATTCATTTGAACAAACTTGGTAGTCCTTCATCCCAGCATGCTACAGGCCTTATTTTAGTTGCCTGGGCCTTTTGATTACTGAGAAGAAGTCCTTTGAAGATTTAAAGACATTTGACCCCTGTGACCTTGAATGAAGGTCAAGGTCATTCATTTGAACAAACTTGGTAGGGTTTCATCAAAGCAAGCTACAGGCTAAATATTAGTTGCCTGGGCCCTCCAGTTATTGAGAAGAAGTCGTTTGAAGATTTTAAGACATTTGACCCCAGTGACCTTGAATGAAGGTCAAGGTCATTCTTTTTAACAAACTTGGTAGGGCTTCATCAAAGCAAGCTACAGGCCAAATATTAGTTGCCTGGGCCTTCCAATTATTGAGAAGAAGTCGTTTGAATGAAAAGTTTACGGACGGCGGACGACGACGGACGAAGCATGATGACTATAGGTCATCGGACCCTTCGGGTCAGATGACCTAAAAATGTGAAGCACAAGAAGTGACATGAAGAAAGGTGTTGTGATTTTTCTATGAAACATTTCCTAGCATTAGATTCAGTGGAACTGCATGTTTG